CTGGAAAATCTTTGCAAAACCCTTAGGAACAGGGTGTGACACACACACACACACGCGCATATTCAGACCAATTCGGACCCCTCGAAGGCGCGGCAGATCACTGTTTTGAGATCCGTTTGAGTCATCAGAGGAGTGCCAGACGAGCAGATCTTCATCCGAAAACACCGGACTGAAAGACACTGCAACCCGCCACCGGGACATGTTTTCATGGCTCCATATTCGCCGAGTTTGTGGTTTTCACATGTTGTTTTGATTCGTTTTCGGGGTTCAGGCTTTTGTGCTTTTGTCATAAAATCAAATCTCTGACCCGACATGTATCGAAATCCTCCAAGCTGGTCTTTCCCAGAAAACCATCCTCCAACAAAAGTCTGTCAAATATATCAAAGGTTTTGAACTATAGCAAACGAACTATATATCTATAGACGTGTGGAGGATTTGATCTATTTCGCGAAATCTCCAGAAGTCTCCAAAAAACTGCTGTATCAAATCACTGTGGAGACCACCAGTTTCTGCGCTCTTTATTTGAGGTCTGCCAGATCGCGGCCTGGGGCTTTTTGCCACCCAGGAGTATGAAGAAGGTGCAGCCTGGCGCCGGCGACCGTGGAAAAAATGTGCATGTTCTAGTGAACAGCTGTTTGGGATGCTGTTTTTGGAGCGCTTATTCTGTAGAAACGTCCAGCAGCCATCAGTAGAGCAGGTGGCATGTCACATGTCTATGAAGGCCAGCGTTTCGTGAGACGTAGATGTATATTTTTGCCGATGTGCATGGGATTGAGTAATTCGCTGAATGAAATCCACAGCGATCTGCAAACGAGTCTCATTGGAATGGAGATGGGAGAATGAATTACAGTATATACATCCTTTGCGGCTTCTACTTGTGCTTAAGGGACGTTTTCATGCTCACCCCCATACCCAAGGCCCAAAGCGTTTTGACCCAGGAGGATCTCGTGATGAGAGGATCTCGTGAGGAGGTTCAACGGTCTTAACCACGGTCACCGGTCGAAAACGCCAGGATCCCAGGATCTCCACCCGTCGGTTCTTACAAAATGGAGCTGGGTGTCCCATCTCCGCGGTTGTCGGTCAAAGACTACTCCGCGGTTCCGGGTTTTCCTGGGCCGCCAGGTATGTTCCACCATCCTTCACTGGGCCCTGGGAGATATGGTCGACCCAAGTTGCTACTGGCTTCGACCGGATCTGAACGACGACCTGGCCGACGGACACGAACGAATCATTGACCATGTTCCGGCTGAAGGTACTGTTTGGCCCCCCAGTTGGAGTCATCCCTGTGGAATCCGAGATGTTTTCTCCGAGTTCTCGGCATCGTCGGGAGGTTCGAGAGTACTTCGCCTCGCACAGGCGGAGTCCGGTCGCTGTCCGCCGGCACCAGGCGACTGCGTCTTGGAGGAGCGACCCTTCTTCCGGCGCCACGGCGTGGCGCAGCTCAAGGGGCCTCTTGGACCATGGCTTTTTTGGGTTGGGGAAGCGGGAAGTGATGCCGTTGGACCTGCTGCAGGTAAGGAAACCCATTTCGTTTGAAGCCGTGAGGTCCCACGGGAACTGCAGGGTGGTGATTGCATGGAATTGGAAGGAGGTGGAGGCCCAAGACTAGGTATGTCATGGTATGTCTGAGAAGCTTGGCATGAACAACCCTCCAGCCCATTTCAGTGACATTTGTACGCCCCAACCAGGATATTCCGTGATATTCCCAGACAACGAACGCACCGTTCTGACATGTTCTTTTTCATTTTTGTAGACATTCCGCACCGTCTGTTTTCGCTCCTTTCCACACCTTCGAACCGCTCGGCTCGTGTGGTTGTTCGGGCGCACGTGGGGTGTAGGACATGAATCATCATGAGTCATCATGGTCCCCAAATCCAGTTGAGCTGGCATTGTCTTACTTCAGATGTGTTCTTTCTTATTTTGGACTGACCACACCACGTAGTGGCCCTGAGGGCACGCGGAACGCGGAACGGCACGGGGTTTCCGCAGCGTTGCACCCAACGCGGGGCGGGAGGCACCAGAAGTTCTTCACCAAAAGCTTTCGTGCCAAGTTCGAACAGATCAAGGCCAGCTCGGAACGATGGAACGAAGGGTGGTTCGATCGATGCCCGTGTGATCCCGTGGTGCTGGTGACATCCAAAGGAAGGGACATGGAATGCATTATGAATACTGCAGGGGAGATTCACATGGACCTCCAAAACCAGGTGTTGTCTTCCATGGGTCTATTCTCAGGTTCCATGTTCGTTTGCGGCGGGTAACCCTCCAAGCTTGTAGGGGACATTTTCTGCTCTCAATTCGCCATATGGAGAACTTCCGTCATGGGAGGGCGAGAGATTTTACATCGCTCGAGGCTCCCTTCACGATGCCTGGAGATGAGGCTTGGTGCTTGGGTGGCGGAGGGTCCAGCATCGTTGGACAGGCATCACTGGGCTGGCGATGTGAACCCAGTAAGGTCGCGGCCTCTACCATCTCCGCAAGATTCGTGTGATTCGGGGGCTCTGAAGCTTCAGGAAACTAGAACTTGAACATCCAGCTGGGAAACTTCATTTAGTTTGAACACACGAATGAAGCAAATATGGGGCTTCCTTTTTTGTGGACCTGGTTGGTTTTGGCTGTAGCTGAGTAGCTTTCCTCGTGGACTCGTGGGGGGGTCAGGAAGACCATGGTGAGATTCTTTCAAACTGTAGCCCATTGCCAGCAACAGTGAAACGATGATCACGATTCTTGTGATGTCGGCCTGCAACCTCACCATCATTCACTGGGATACATGGGATATATGGACCCAAATTCAAAGCCCACAACGCCCTTCGGTGTCCACCCACCGCGTTTTGAGAGCGCGTCACGCCTCCACCTCCTCCACCCTTCCCTTCCACCGGACTCGGTCGGAGCTCCTCGTCCGTCCGTGTACGGCGGAGGCTCAAAGTCACGTCTATGCCTCTCCGGCCATGCTACGCTCGGCCGTGAGCTTTTGTTCGGCATCGCTCATGACGCAGCAGAGCCTCGGCGGGTCCGGGGTGAAGGAGGGCAGGCGAAGGGGCAGGGGCAGGTGAGGCATCGACGTCTTTGGAGGCAAACCGTTTGGGAACACTGCTTGTCGGGTGTGCAAGGTTGGAAGGTTTTGGCCTCGACTCTTGTCGGGAGTTCGACAGTGTATTTGGAGCTGTGGAGGCAACCATCTCGTCGTTGGAGCAAAGCCAATGGTGGTTTCGATTTTCAAGACTGCCAATCAATCCATCTCTTCGTTTTTGCCGTTGAAACCGGTTGATTCTGTCTGTCGGCCAACCTGCGGGTCATGGGGGGTCATGGGGTGCAGGTGGTGTACCCACCTTTCTTGGAAGCTTCATGAAGCTTCATGGAATAGGCAGCTGGCCGGATGGCGCAGATTTGATCCGCTGAACGTTGGGGATGAGGATGATCTTGGAGCTGCATCATCCTCCACTGAGCTCGAGCCATCCGCTGGTGCCCGGATGCTCAGAATGAAGCGACTCCCCGCGCGGGTTCCGCGGGTTCCGCGGGACGTGGCCGAATCCGGTCGAGGATGAGGACAAGAGCTTGATCGATCAGTAGGTGATCAGGGAGCATCAGTGAGCTATAGTTGTGTCGTGCTGGCCTTTTTTCCAATTCAACATAGTGTGGACCATCTGTTCTACGGTATAGATGATACATCTTCGAAAAACCAGCCACCTTCTGTCAGACCACCACCTGGCTGGTTCAACGCCCCAGACGACCTATTCTCGGGACCGAGCCCGGTCCAGGTCGATCGGTCCGAGACTCGGTGACCGTTCCACCCGAGCCGAACGGGTCGACGGCCACCGGGGATGGGGTTCCGCACCCGGAGCACCGGTTCGCGCGCTCTGGGTGAAGTCCCTGGAGCTCGGGGCGTTTTTGAAGTGGTCGAGCCATGTCTGGGTCTATTCTGTTCACCTCCTGGGGCTTCACAGCTCTTTTGGGTGTCCGTCACGTCCGATGTCGAGAGGTCGGTGGCCCTGGCCGTGGCCAAGCTGTGCCGTAGCGCGGTGCCCTGCTGCCACGAGATCTCTGAAGAGGTCCTACAGTGCCTGGGTCGCCGGGTTTTGCTCGTCGGCTCACGGAGAGAACCTCACGTTGTTTCGAGGACCTGAAGGCTGTGTTGTCCCTTGTTATTTAGGGTATGGAACTGGAACTGGAACTGAGATGAGATTAGTTTTCCTCCTCTTGCTTAGCCCAGGTTGACCCCTGGTGGTCCAGGATTTCTCCCAGGTGCAGGTGATCAACGCGAGCTTTGAGAATCATCGCCCCGTCTTAAGATCGACGAGATGGAGACGACCGGGGTTGAAGAACGCTACTTTGATTCCCCTGAAGGCATGGCTGCTGTTTGGTGCAACAGATCGGTAGAAAGAGATTTGTCACTCTCTTCATGTTCTCAGCGCTATTCCCCTACCTGCAGCAGTTGTTTGGGTGAAACTGGGATGTAGGGAAATGTAGGGAACCTAATCTCGGCCGAGATCTTGGCCCACAAGGTGGCCAGAATCGGCGGCCTGATCGTACAAGATAATAAGATAGAACACCCATCACTTTGAGCCTCATCAATCCCCTCCACCTTTAGGGTGTTATATGTACACTGTTTAAACCTTCTCAGAACCGACCCTTTTTGTACAGGATTGCTTTTGGGAGATATCCATGGGAAAAAAAGAACAGGGTTCTGCTCTGCATGGAGTCCAGAACAAACTGCCCGAGTGAGTTTCCATCTTCACCCCTTCCCGAACGGCGTTCCCGGCGTTCCGCTCATGAAATCGAGGGTTAGTGCCAAGCAGCGTCGGAAGTTCTCCGCTTGAGAGACTGAGCAAGGAGTTTGAGAGAGAGGGAGAGCTAGAGAGCATTGAATCAGGTTACGGTTTGCGCAGGTATCGCTTGAAGGCGAAAGTACATACCTCCCAACTATCATACCCTCGGGAGTTCACTTTTGGGCTTTTTGGCTTCTGCTTCGCCTTTGGTTGAAAGCCTGACAAATGCAACTACGTTCGACTTTTGAGTCCTTCAAGCTTAGAATTTCCTTTGAGATCTTTGAGGCTTCGATGTTAGTCAATTTTGGTAAGACTCACCCTGAATTCTTGCTGCTCATTTTGAACTACACCTGGATCTTCCAACTATGCAACATTTCTGCCTTTTGTGGCGGGTTTTATTGATGAACAGGCAGACATCTTGCACAGTTCGAAGATCCAGGTATAATGAATGTATAATTCTTCAGGATTGGGAGGGACGTAATTTTTACCTGAAATGCATACTGGGATTCTTCTCTGGACATCATCTCAAGATCGTGCCTGAGGCGCGCGATCTTGGCCATCGAGATGAATATCTTCGTGGGGGAGTGCCGCGCCGGGCGGACGGGATATCGTGAAGAAAGATGGCAAGTCCCAAGTCGAATGCAAGCATGTTCGAGTTTTGTGCGGCTTGATGGTTGACTTTGTGGTGCTTGATGGTTGCAGTGGGACACGTTATAGGACTTTTGGGGCAAATGTGCCGCAAAATGAGGGACACGTCTACCTGCTACACCGGAGAAAAACACACACCATCACTTAAAAGATCTTAAAAGTCTTATCTTTCATTTCTTCAGAACTCTTCGGGAAACCTGTAGCCACAGGGGCAGCCGAATGGATCATCTTCACCAACTTCCACGATGTTCATCCACTGAATAGGAGATTTGGTTTTAAGACAACCCGTCGTGAAGCTTGTGCCACTGCCCTGAAGAAAAGGTCAGGATTTAGGAGAACCATTTGGTTTTCTAACTTGGGTGACCATTTCCTTTACTTCGGGAGCAGCACCTTCGGTAGGTGTTGCTTCCTCACCTTCTGCCGGATGAACCACAGTTGCTTCCCCAACGTGGTGTACATCAGCGAGAAGAGGCCGGGCCACCGAGACGACCCCGCTTCGAGCCGACCGAGACTCCGGTCGGTCCAATCCGGGGCGACCGTTCCGGATGGTTCGGCTGGCTGTTTGAGGATGTTCCGGATGATGCGTGGTGTTTTATTTTGTTCTCTTCTCTTCTTTTTCCGAAAAGGAAAAGCAACCCAGCGGTTTGGGATGCCGGCCAAAGCATTTGGCCATTCTGCAGAATGGGTTGATGACGCAGCTGGTGTGGCTCTGTATTCCTAGTATTCCTAAGTTTTTCTTGGGTAGCCGGGTAGCCATGCTCTCTGTGCAGATTATCTTCGGGATTCATCTATGTTTTTATGTACTGGTGATGAGCTCATTCTTGTTGGCGCTGCGTTTTCGTGACGCCGGGTATCTCACCCTCCACGGCAAGCTGGGCGATGAGACAGTGCCACAGCTGCTGTTCCCTGACATGGACCTGAACAGCAAGACACAACGCACGCTACTGTACGTGATGCTCGTGTGTATGCTGGCAAATTGGATCGGTAGCTTTCAAGCCTTTAACTCGACAGACTTGGGATTTCGCGGTGCGATGCGGTCCCAGTGCATGCTGGTGCATGGGTTGCAGCCGGTTCTCATGCTTGGAAACGGCCACTTGAAGCTGAGAGAAGAGGGTGCTCGGTCGTGGACAGCTCTTCATGGCACATTTGCAATGCTCTTTCTGTTTGCCCAGGAGAAGCAATGACCAAATCCGCGAGCCATGCGGTTCGTTGCTTTAGGTTGCCACTTGTTGGAAAGCGCTCCACTCAAGAAAGGGGCACGCGGAGTCGAAGACGGAGTGGAGGAAGAAACCACCTGGAGAAACGACCCCGCAAGAAACTCTCAAGTGACACTCCGACTGGCTAACATGGAAGTGGAAAACCCATGAACATCTCAGTTCGTAGAGGAAGGCAAATGCACTCCACTTTCATGTGATGTGTTCAGAGTGTACACGTCGCTTTCACGACTAAACTCTTGACTGTCCAGGACAGACTCTCAACATCTCTCAACTCGTTCTTTAGACGGGGGGTTTGGTATACGGGTGAAACGCTCTAGGCAGTCTTGGATCCCGCGGATTGGCACGTCTTCGTCTTTGGGGGGAGACACCTTTGTCGTGACCAATGGTTCGCAGCCGAGCAAGACAGACATCCAATGGCAGCGTCGTTTCACGTTGACCAGACGTCCAGGAACTGCAAGCCGTGCAAGCCGTCTGATGTTTCTTTCCGCAAGGAGTTTGATGAAGGCGACCCATAGCGGCTCAATGGTCCACACGAACGGATGGATTTTGAAATCCCAACTCGGTCAGGGTGCGTTTGGAGTCCCTTGATCCAGCTCGAAGATGCTCTAATATGCATTCTTCGAAGTGGTCCAGTCTGATCTTGGAAGTGCTGGGAAAAAAGGCAAGATATCAGTTAGTCGATACTGTTAGTTGTAATAATAAGTTATCACACTTATAAGACCAGTTTTTTTCTATTTCAGAGTAGTAAACAGATCTCACCGAAAAAGAGAGGACACAGCATTTTTCGCATCGCATGAACTCACACATCTACATAGATCTCTATCTGGACACCGCCCGAGGGGACACCCGCCGCCGGGTTCCGCGTCGCACCACGACGTGTCCAGGCAGTTCCGTGCCTTGCGGAAGATTCAGAAGGGCGAGGAACTCTTGCACTCATACCTGGGCCGGGAGTGGGGACAGCTCAGAAGCGACAGGAAGAATCACAGGGTAAGACATCAAAGTCTTTTTGGAAAAAAAGAGGCTGTCAAAAGCTCCTCCAGAAGCATTTGACTCTGTGGATTTGGAAGGTCTGTTTTAGGCCAGTTTTGTCTGCCTTGCTGCTTGTTTTCTCGTTTCCGTACTGCCGGCAGCCAGACGAGTTGGATTCCAGACGAGTTGGATTCGACTCGCCGCTGGTGATCATTTTAAGACCTCAACTTCCATGTTTTTGATAGACGATCAAACCACCAACTGTGTGTGTGTGTCTTTTGGTGGTGCCCGGAAACAACACAACCACTCAATGAGCTCCAAGGCCTGGAAAACCTTTGGGCCACAGGGCTCCTCCCGCTGCGACAGCCGAGGCTTCTGCTCCCCACCGAGCTTCGGCGGCGCCTCCTGTGGCGCTCCAAGGCCTTCGAGTGCGACTGCACCCGCTGCACAGCAGAGGATCGATGGTGACGTGCCTGGTGGTATCAGGTGGAGCTTTCATGGCCAGGAAGAAGGGGAGGTGTAGTGGGGGGGACGAGGAGCTTCACTTGTTGATACTCGTGCTTTCAGCCATCTCATCGAAGGCAATCGTAAATCCAACGATCGCCCAGCACCTCCTGCCCCATTTCTCACCGCCTTTTCCAAGCAACATCAGCCAAGATCTTCCGGATGACCAGTTTGGGATGTGATCTCGGCCACCATTTTCAAAGCCGTTTGGATCATGTGAAAATCCAAGAGATTTCTCCCCTTCTCCATGGCATCCAGAGAGGCCATCCCAGTGGTGTTTTCATGCGGTGGCCTTCAAACTTCTCGCTTTCGTTCGCGAACGAACGCCTTCGGGACCCAGCTGCGGCGTCTTTTCCGATGCGTCAGGAGGATCCGATGCGCCGGGTGGCTTGCCGGAGCTGTGCTCATGCCAAGGAGCACTATGAGGCACCCGCGATCGGAGCACGACGGAAGAAGCGGTAGCTGAGAGGTCATACAACGTGGCGAGGTCTGGAAAGGTCAGGTGCGACCAGGCTCATGTAGACTGTTGATGAAGAACCCTCCCCCTCTATCTGGATGGTAGAGCATCTCCATATGGGGTGGTACAACGGTGGGTTCTGAGCTTGCCCTAGAGCTTCTCAGGTTTTCTGAAGAACACCGACACCACCATCTCCTGACACCACCATCTCCTGGTGTAGGGCCGGGCGTAGTTCTTTCAAGTCTTGGAGAGCAACATTTCAATCATCCGATTTTGGTGGATGGGTTGTGCTTGGGAGGATGGTGGATTGATGGATTGAGGAGGATTCTTCAAAAGAGACGGGCGGTGAAACCGGTTCTGAGAGGCGTGCCTGAAAACACCCAAGAAGCTACGCAGCAACCCAAGTCTACCCAAAGCACTATCTCACCCCGCACTGAAGTTTGGGCGAGCTGATGCGACATGTATATAACATTGCATAACATATAAAACCTGGCATTCGGCGTGATCTAGAGTAGACTCAGTAGAAGAGGCACTGGCTCCAAAGTCTCTGAGTTGGCACATGCGAACCTCTATCTCTTCCCCCGGGGTCTTTCTCCCATGCTCGCGGTCTTGACCTGCGAACTCGGCGAACTGCGATCGGCCGAGTGGGTCTTTCGCGTTCGTTCAGGTGATCTTTCACCCGGGCGTGTGGTTGCGGTCGGAACCCAGTGGCTTGGTCTTCAAGGGCGAATCAAACACCTCCCAAAACGCTGCGGTCGGAACCAGGAAGCCATCGGAGAAAAGGTTGGAGGCCGTCGTGTCGTTAGCTTGGGGTCAGAAGGTGCTCCAAAGAAGGTCCCTTTAGAATGTGCCAAAGGGGATATCCAGGTTTGCTTGCCAACGCTCGTCGTACTGAACATGTCATCAGTGTCTTGAATCAGGGTTTGAATCAGGGTGTCTATGTATTTTTACTTGAATCTGCACTGAACATCCCTAGTGGCATCCGAACTCACTCGTGCCGGTTTCGGCATCCTGTGGACTCAGTCATTGAGATCACCAACAAGACCAGGATGCTGAAAACAGTCCTCCCTTCTTCATTCTTTACCCTGGTTTTTGTTGGGAGGGTAGAAACATCACCGAAACTAAACAGCACGTGATCAACAACATGCCAAAGATTATGCGCTGTTTGGGAACCTTCAGGAACCAGTGTTCGTTCAGGAACCAACTCGCTTGGTCATGCGTGGTGTGAGGCTGGAAACAGGGCCACCAGGCCACCGGGCCCACATCACTGGTCCAACAGCTTCGCCTCGAAGAGGCCGTGGCTTAACACCAGCGCCACACCACCACCAGGACCCACTGGAGTTGGGTGGTTCATGGACACCCCGAATCACATCTGGGCTATCAAGAACGAAGCCCCCCAATCATCTGGGAGGTGGCCTGGGTTGTCGTCCAGAAAGGGTGTCAGAGTTGGTGCCACGATCAACGAAAAAATTCACCGAAAACATATGACACCTGACCTCGATTGTCCTGGCTGATTCTCCTTCGAGGCTTGCAGGGAAAGCAGCTGGCCTTTCTGAATGAAGGACAACGGCTCAAGGCACGCGAAGGACCACGGTCAGGAGGGATGAAGTTGGTTTTGTGTGCCTGGAAGTCACACACACACACACCCTGGTAAGAACAAATATAGTGGATTGAGAGTAGATGGCACAGACGCCAAGAGGTGGTTTATATGGACCCCCATTTAAAGGACATCTTGGGGTCTGTGCCATCTACTCTGAAACCACTGTAGAGTGAATTTGTGAATTTGAGGCAGAGTTCTAAGGCTAAGGTGTCCCTCTTGAAAGGACCAACTAGAAGGACTTAGCTCGCGGACGCTCTCAGAGGTCGACCGCGAGCTTAAAGTAAGGTCGACTAGAAAGGAGATCACCCCCTGTCATGCGATCTGGTCTTTTTCTCCTGAAGGGTCATCTGTGTCCCATGTGTCCCTGAGCAGCTCCAGCCAACGTTTGGCCGGAATCCGACTTGCTTTCCCCACTATCTAATGTGTGTATGTACGTGTGTGTGTGTGTGCGCGCGCGCATACATACATTTCATTACATTTCTATACATATCTTCATTGCAATAGAGCTGCCCTCCCAACTAAACACATACAAACGGAATCACAATACCAAAAACCCCTGGAATCGAACGGCGCGCAGCCAATGCTGGAGCCTGCGCCCCTTGGCACCGGCTGACGGAGGTGGATCTGTGGATGAGGCCAACACCAAAGTAGAGGATCTACACCGATTCAGAAACCCACATGGAACCGGGCCTGGCATGGACCAGACTGGAAGACGAGGAATGGCGAAGACCAACCCGACGTGGGTTTTTCGGGTTCCATGTGGGTCTCTTTTAGGGCGTATACTAAGCATACTAGACGTTTTTGAGCCGCGCGCAGGGGAGGGGCTGCTGCCTGTCCTTGGACATCGTACATCGTTTCTCAACTGCAGCCGTTTGCTCAATTCCTGTTGAGTGGTTTCTGCTTGGATTATTGAAACCATATAATTAGTCGTGTTTCAGACATCCCTGCACAATGTTTTCGCCCCAGACACTCTTGAATAACCGGACGTCCGGATTGCAACAAACTCACTTTGTATGAGACAGGTAGCAGGTGCTGAGACCTCCAACACAACAATGAGAACAGTGGCCGTCAGACATTCTATTGAAGGAAGACCTGAACAATGTAGTAGGAGGAATAGACCAGAGATACTAGGCCACTAGGCCTCTTGGACCCTCAAGTGCTCGATTTCTTCCTTATGTCTTCCTTCAACCGGACACACGGGTTCTACAAGCGACACTCTCTGCTTGCTTGGTTGTCAGGCGACTGGAGAGAGGAGTGGATCATGGATCCATGTGAAGGTGGGAGGGTGGAGTGGGATTGGCGGCAGATTCTGCCGTTGCAAATGAAAGAAGCTTTCACGTGGTGGTCGAGAGAAGAACACCCACCGCGAATTGGATTCGTCACCATGAGCCGATCATGCAGACTCTTGATTAATCACCCCCCCTGGATTGAATTAAAACACATAAAAAGAAACCCTCTTATTATATATCTGGGGTTTGGGTCGGAGCCCGGCTTAGCGACGCTTGCGCCGCGGCGCAAGCGCCCGGTTCTGGCCCACCATCCCCGGTGCAGGTGGAGCGGCAGGTCGGCTGGGTGCTGACCAACGGGCGATCCTTATCGCCTCCCTTGCAGAAGATGACCCTTGGCACGATCGGACCCCAAACACCGGTGGGTCACACGTGGGTAACACGAGGGTTTACTGGCCTGTAGTAAAGGCCAGCGAGGAACCAAGTCTTTGTAGTAAAGGCATGTCCTCTCATGTGTATGGGCATGGTGCGAGGAACCCTCATCTTTTTTCGGGAAAGAGTGAGGTTGTCGTCACTGTCGTCGCCAAACCTTACATGTTTCTCTTGCTTTTCTCTATCTATCTATATATGTATATTTGTTTCCTGTTAGTATGGAAAGATATGTACACTATCTGTTTCAATATTACTGTATGACTGCATGTACATATGTTACTTTATTTCCATAATTGTTGCATTTTATTACCACACTGTATTATGGCCTTATGAATTCCGTGTTATTACCTTTAAATGCTCAGGGTATTGCATATTATTGTTATTTTCTTTCTGTGCCATCATGACCTGCATCTTTTGTGCTCGTCCGAGCCGACACACACACACACACGCACATGTGCAAAGAGGACCTGAACCAGCTATCTCTTTAGATCATTGGATGTACTTGATCATCCCCTACAAGTTCTCCCAACCCTTTTCATCCCAACCGATCCTTCCTTCGCCTCTCGACCTCTTCCGCATCCAGGCTCTGCCTGCCGCTGGATGCGGAGTCGTGGCGTGTCGTGGCGGATCCCTACGACGGGCTGCCGCTGCCTGAGTGGCCAGGAGCGCCGCAGCGTGTCGTGCGACTGGTGACTGGAGCTTGTCTCGAACCATGTTCTCCACCCGTTTTTTGGACCTCAGATTCTCCTTTGACTGGTTTCAGGCTAGTGAAAACGATAGTGAACACCATCAGCATTCTTAGAGATGAGTTGGTGCTTCGTGGTGCTGTTCTTCTTTTGATGGCTTCTTGGTGGATTGCCCTTCAGAAGAACTGCCCACCGGGCCGCCCGTCCGCACCGTTCAGAGCGGATCGGGCGTCTGGGCCGAAGGTCGGACGTTGGACCTGGTCGTCCTGCATGGAGCCAGGGGAACACGTGGGGACACACATTGTAGTTCAACGATGGTTTTGTTGCGCTATACATACATTCATCATGTTCCGGAAGGACCACCTTGGGTGACGATGTTCCGTAGTTCTGGTAGTTTTTTCCTGGAGATCTACGCTCCCCCAAGATAGCCTAATGCACAGATTCTGCGGATGTACATTCTTTCCAGACCGTCAAGTGCCTCGGGGCACCGTGTCGGGTCCTGCCCGCTGCACCCTCCGGCTCGGGTCCTGTTGCCCTTTGGAGGGGTTTGGCCCCCCCTCCAATCCCAATGCTTTTGAGGGACCGTTCAGGTGGTGTTTCGTCTCTTTCCTTTGGCACCGGGCGGTGTTTCGGCGAACAGGATGGCGGCTCTGGCATGAAGCCGCGCTTCTGTTGCTTGGAACGAAGGTGCGAGTGACCGTGAAGAACCAGTGGATTGCTCTACAGAGCAACCATGAGCAATCATGAGCAGTCCACATGACATGTCATTGCTCCTGTGCCAATTGCAGGCATGAAAAACATCTGGTGACCTGCTGGAGGTCGAAGTTCTTCGTTGAACATGACGGTTTCTTCGTTCTTCGTGGTTGAGATTCTTCGTGCAAAATTCGGCGAGAACTTCTTTCCAGCCATGAATTTCTCACTTCAAGCGGGAACCAGGAGGTAGTTGGAACCGGGAACCAAAAGAAATCCTGGACTGAGAGGGCTTCTCTCCACCTTGGTGGAGAGAGATGTTCGGCCCAAGACCAGCACAGACTGAGCAGTTGAGAGGCGAACAAAGTCAAGTTCAGAAACTGTTCCGGGTTCAGAAACTAGGGTTCAGAAGCGTTGAGAAGCCTTTGAATCAAAGGCTACAGATGTTTCATGTTGTTCCATGATGTTCCATGTCGCAAGGCCTGCGGTTTCTATTTAATATATACAGTCACTTCTCTGATTTGTTGCAGCTGTTAACACACCTGGCCTCTCCCCACACATGGAGGATGTTCCTCGGTGCTCATCCAGCTTGGGATGGGGATCAAGCCACCCAAACTTCAAAATATGGACCCCGATTCGGGGGATCCTGCATGGGAATTCTCCCGAATTCCCCCCTTCTTTCGGCCGGTGAAACGACCCCAAGACCGATGATGACGGATGTGACGGATCCCGCCTAAAGAGGTGCTGGACTCGATGAGCTTCGCCATCGACGAAGGGTGCCTCTTTCTTTGATTCCATCGGACATGGCAGGATTGAGCCGAACTGACTCCATCTGACTCCTCTTTGTTCGCGACTTGAAACCGAACCCATGCGATGGAGACAAACGACGGATCGGTGACTGGGATCGTACCCTCCCCTCGGGTTCACGCAAACCGTCGGTGTGCACCGGCGACACGACACGGTCGCGGGGCGCAGCGGGATCCGCCGCGAAGGGCGGGAATGGCGCCGCGAATGGAGCCGCTTAAAGCGGCGAAGCCGCGAATCGCTCAGCAAGCCAAGCCGATGCCGGGGGCGGATCTGCAAGGATGTTTTTTGTTTTTTTCCCAGACTCCAAGGTTCTTGCCAGTGGATGATGTGCAAACTCCAGTGGCGGAAGACGAGACCCAGGCAGTGGTGGAAACGCACAATTTGCATGCTGCGAATTTCACGACACGACGTCCATGTTGGACGTCCAGCTGGGCGGGTTTTAGGCACGCCTCAAGGTCTTCGTTTCTCCTGCAGAGTGTTTTGACTTTTCAATGGTTTGTTGTTCCATTTCGCCTGGTTTGGACATCGCTGTTGGAGCTGCCAGGGATTCTTCCATGCAGCAAAGCAGTCCCCCAATTTTGGAGCCAGAATGCAATATTGAAGCTAGCTTCTGGCTCTTGGTTGTGGTCTCATTTACTGCGATCGAATCATTGCCGTTTCTATACCGACACTCAGTGGTCAGCGGGCTCAGGAGTGTGCCTGTGTCCAAAACTGAATGACAATCGCATTGGGCGGGCATCCAACCACATCGCAAAAATGAAACCCGCGCAGACTCCACTCGTGATATTTCATTCAATCCCACTGTTCATGAGGACCAATCAAACGGATGAACCATGATGAAACAAAAGGTATATTGAACAGTCACCAGCCACAACGGACTGTTTTCAGAGCTTTTCAACCTGGACAAGTTCAGATTGAAGTCACACACTATAGATAATGATTTCTTATAGACTATTGACTTATTGATATACAGTAATTAATCGCACTTTGATGTTCCACCGCACATTTGATCAGTTCAAGTGCATCCAATCGGGACCTTGTTTTAATGGTTGGTGAATTGATCGATCAGGAGGAAGCCTTTTCCCGCGAGATCTTAGAGCAGCTTCCTGCCGACCTGGACCTTCCCTGTGCAGCCTTCACACAAGGCCGCTGTCCTTTTGGACTGTGCTGCTTAGACTTCCTGATGGTGTAGTGGGAAGGAGGTGCCTTCCAAGAGTCAATTTTCGCAGATCCTGCATCCGAGCATGCAATCCAAAGCCGTCCAGTTTACTGAAGCTGGTCTCCTCTTAGCCCCCCAAAAGTGCCGTTCGACCGTTCGAACCCGGCAAGAACTTGAGGTGCCGTCTTGCCACCGCCATGCCTGGTTCCGGTGGTCGTCTTCTGTTCCGCAAAGAACTCCGCTCCATGGGCCGACCATCTTGTTCCTAGTAGCGATGCCCTTTGCTCCTAGTAGCTTCTTGCTCCTACTGTAGTAGTATGGCCAGGAGCCCCTAGTAGCGCCTTGCTCCTAGCAGCGATGCGCAGAGACCATCGGATTTGGCACTCACAACCATCCAATGGATGGGTCCATAGTCATACGGAGTCATACGGCGGATCGTTGGCCATTCTGGCTCAAGCGTTTTTGAAGTACCGGAAGTGGAAGGGCCCCTGACGGCGCCTTGGAGTGGTTCTGGCTGGTGCTGGGTGCTGGGTGCTGGTGCTGTGGGCTGGCTGTGCACGTGGTGGAGACAGGTTGCTGGTGCGGGGTGCCGGGCGCCGGTGCGGGTGCTGTGAGCTGGCTGTGCGCGTGGTGGAGACAGGTGCTGGTGCTGGTGCTGCCGGTGCTGGCGCTGGTCCTGTGAGCTGGCTGCGCGTGAGGTGGAGACAGGTTGCTGGTGCTGGTGCCGGGTGCCGGCTGGTGCTGTGAGCTGGCTGTGCACGTGGTAGTGGACTGGTGCTGGCGCCGGAAGCTGGTGCTGGTGGTGCTCGTTGTGTGCGTGGTGCAGATTGGGTGCTGGTGCCGGGTGCTGGCGCTGGCTGTGCGCGTAGTGGAGACACCCCAGGCTGTATTGCGTGTAAAAATTGGAGCTGCTGCCAATGCAGGGTGCAGTGCAGCCCAGAAAAATCTTTTGCATGCTTTTGCTATCTGGGGACTATGCTGGAGTAATTTTTTTCTTTTGAACACCGTGTGAACTCGGGTGGTTTCGCGTGATGGGTGGTTTCACCATATGCCAGAGTGAGCCTCATTTGCTGCTGCGATCTTGCCTGTCATGTCCCTAAACCTGTGGTATTCCAAACCAAGCAAGATGTTTTCCCCCCCAAGAGAACTATGGCTGTGAAGAACATCTCAATCAAACTCAGTCATATACCCAGTGCGACCGCGGCGGCTTCAACAGTGCGAAGCTCAGGTGGAATTGGTTATCATGGAAGGTGGAGCCCAACAAATGCCAATTCTGTCCGCCCAAGGGCGCGAGTTCAGAGCGTCTGGGGCCAGTTCAGAGCGGCCCAGGCCGCGCGGCGGCAGGCACGGAGGAACTGCCCAGCACGGGGGAACTGCCCAGCTGGACACGAACGCAGCACACGCAGCGCACGGATCGAACGCAGCACGCGGGCGCAGCGCGCGGAGTCGGCTCCGGCCGCATGCACTTGCCGAGGATTCCGGATGCTTGGCGCGTCCGCCTCGCGGTTCGGGGCGACGGAGGGGGGGAACACCCGTGGATCGGATTTGGAGGAGTTTCGTCAAGAACGAGCAGCCTGCAAAGAGGCAACAAGCCTCCCAGAAGGGTGCAGTTGGCGGAGTTTTCGCGAGCTTTCGTGGCTGTCGATGTGGTGCTGGTGCCGGTTCCTGGCAGGTTGCAAGACCCGACAATTGTGAGAAACCGTCATTCAGACTTATGGGAGATTATCCCGAGGCTTCCAACATCTTCCAACAACCATTCATTTCAACCATTGTTTTAGTAAGGAATTTACACTACAACAACAGGTCAACCTTTCTTTTAAAGGTCTTGGAAGGCTAGGAAATATATAATAGTATTTATACCAGTCAGGGGTGGCACTGACAAAGCGCACAGTTTGCACAAAGGGGCGACGGATTCTGATGCCTTTTGGATGACAAATGTTGAACACCAGAAACATCACTCCAGCCTTAAGGAGGAAAACAAGAAGCCATCGCTTCAGACGTTGCTGGACGAGAGAGATGCACGCACTCTGCGTCGATGTGTGCGCGATGGAGTCGACCAGACGGAGGAACTGCGCAGCTGTTTAACATTGAAGACTTCGCGAAGTTCTTTGACAAGTGAGATGCTAATCAATATGAATCGGTCAGAACTGCCGCCAGGGACGATGGTTGCGGTTTACTCACCCACAGTGTGATGTGCTGCTTGGATTGAACAGGCCAAGCAGCTTGAGCCATGTAGATGGCTATTTTTGTCGACTGTTTAAGTTTAAGCATCGTTTAACTGGCTTTTGATCGTGCGCAGATCCACTGGAAGAACCCAGGGTGGCCCAGTACTCATTATCAGACGTACTCTAACTTTCCAAAACAATGGGTTTGGCCCGAAACTGATGGACTTGCAAGAGAAAATGACTAATCGAGTCTGTCCCGCAGCCAAACTTTCTCCGTTTTCGATGTAATTAATCAGTTTCTGGCCACACACATTCCACCCTTGGTGACCACGTGGTACAACCCAAAGGGAATGGGTAATTTGGGCAAGCGCTTTTCCCCAGAGTGGCAGGCGCTTTGACCTTGCAGCTGTTGTTTGCACAGCTGAGGACACGATTTGGTCAGATAAAACTTGTGCGTAGCAAAAGCTACCAACTTTTGTGCGGTTTCATATGGCCATATATGGCTATGGCTTGAACATCAGATCAAACAGGTCAACCCCCACAACAGCCTTGGATTCCCGTCCATGACTTCGTCCATTGTTTGAGCCATATAATATAGCCATCAAATAGAAGGAACAGGACATCTATAGACATGGACAAAGGGCGTGCGGAAAGCGTGAGTCTTTTCTGCAGTGTCGAGTGGGGTGAAGAGCAAGTGAGTGCAGTGTGCGGTGTCTGCGGTGTCTCAGTTTCTTCCACATTTTGATGTCCTTGCTAAGCCCTGAGGGTTTTGGTCAGATTGGCTTTAGAGTTGGTATATACTTAATTCTTTAGACTGCTTAGGCTTCAGAGTGTAAGGCCTGAACCTCTTTGGAAATGGGCATTGAACCCACTCACAACTTCGGTTGGTGATTGGTCAACACTCGGTTTGTGGATTCCCCGGAATTCTCAGAGGCATTCGTTGGTTCTTTATTCGACGAAGATGGGGTTCCGACATTTCCACGCTCCGCCGGAAAAACGTTTGCGTTGCTCGGTCAACGATGGCTTGCCCAGGGATTTGGGTGCTTCGCATTCCTTGATGCGACTAGTGAAAGTCGAACAGGGCACTTCATAACTGATATAACTGTGGAAGACGTTGCGGGATCTTTTTCGCCCCCCTCCCCAATTGGCAGAGGCAGCCAGTTTCGGTCGTTGTGCGGATCGTTTCACACGAAGCTCGTTTTCGACCCTCGTCGCGTGCTTCGAGCGCTTCGCCAGACAGCCCTTGCTGCCGCTTTTTGGGCGACCGCTGGTCATGTCCCAGCTGCGGCGAAGAGGTGTAGAGAGTTTTCTGTCCCGTTTCGGAGTCGAGGGGGTCGGGTGGTTGGGGGTTCCAGACGCTCCCTGGGCCCTAGGGATCACAGTCGTACCGAACCTCAGGTTCGGTGCGACTGGACCCGACAAATGGCACCCACATCACAGTGTCGAGCACATCACCGTACCTGAGAAGGTACGACTGGATCTATAGGGCTTAGAGGATCATCCAGGTCTTTTGCTTCCGAGGTTGTCCCATGTGTGTTTTCTCCAATGCTTCAACATGTCTTTACGAACCCAAGTAACCTTACGGCAGCTTCCAACTTCACTTGGAAGACGTCACCCCAATACACTCAAGAAACAGGAAACATCCACACTCATATATAAACGGCTTGAGCACTCATGAAACACGAAACACACCAAAAACCTATTTGGAGTTTCCATCATGGAAACTCCAAACTCCCTCCTCCTCCTGTCCCCTTTCTCCGGTTTCTCGCCTCCCCTCCTCGCGGTCAGGTGGCCGACCTGACCAGTGAACGGCTCCTAGGGCGCCTCGCCGAGCGGACGTGCCTGGGACGGTCGCTTTATGGGCGGTCACAGGCGCCTGGCATGGCAAAAGGCAGTGGATTCATATGGGTTTTCCAAGAAAGCGATGCGTTTTTCAAGTTTGTGAACTGTTTTTTGTTGCGTCTACGGTCTACGTGTGAACTGGTGAATTGATGTGCTTTTTGCTTCTAAATCCCATTGTTGAACTGTCCTCTACGCAATCATTGGGGCCTCATAAGGGGAGCCACAAAAACACATTCAGTAGGTGGGGCCTGTTTTCCAACAGTTTCTTTTCTTTGCGAAGCTGTCCAATCTTCAGTCAGGGTGTCTTGGACGGCTCCCTGTCGTGTTCCCCGGGTGCAGTGAAAGAACCTGATCCAAGGTGGCCTCCCGGACAGGCCCGAGAGAAACAAGGTTTCAGGACATCACAGATGGTATGAGGTCCGGTCTTTGAACTTGCAGATCGAAATAGTCAGAGCCACTCAGTTTGGCTCGCAAACCTACCTTGGTTGCAAGGCAGCAAGGCGAAGACTGCTTTGATCGGTTGGAAGGATTTCCTCGCAAAACTTTGAGCTGCAGCCCCGTCGACTGTTTTACACAAACAACACATTAAAACAAAAACATGTGTTTTAGTCTATGTTTGCTGTCGACGTTTTCGGGGTGTTTTTCAACCCTGAACACCCAAGCGAGCGAACCGCTTCGCTGTCCACCTCGTGAATTTGCGGAGAGAACTCTCCCCCCCCTTGTGGAGGTGAGTGTGTCGGGGCTGAGGTTCTTCACCCCAAAGATGACCCCTGCCTTGGGCTCGGTGAGTGCGAAAGCTGGAACTTCCGCCTTGAAGATGGCCGGGTCCGGACGGACGTCCGGTGCGTGGTGGGTGACGGTGCGGTGGTGTCAATCGTTGGGAGAAATGGGCAGAACGGTGACACATCGTCTAGTGGTTCTTTTTCAATCCCACCGTGCTTTCTATCTAAACCATAGCTCAGAGGTGTCTAGAGTCGCTTTCAACCAGGTCTGGAGTTTGCTTTTTTTCTTCTCATTTGGTCACCGAGTGCAGCTCACCGCCCCTGGCCATGTGTGAGCTGTGTTGCCATGAGGTTCAATGAGGGCTGTGTTGCCATGATTCACTCGACCGAGCTTGGAGCGATTTTCGCCGGGAAATGAGGCACTGAATCACCCCACATACGGCCACCACACGTCCGGGTTGGTTCGGAGCCACGAGGTCCCGCTGGGGGCGCTCCTTTGGAAGCGACACCAAAACCGGCACCCAAACCCAAGAAGGGGGGACCCACATGCGTGTGTAGCATAAATCGAGACCACTAGCCAATGCATAGACTGGTCATGACTGGTCTATGTTCCTTCCTCTGGGGGGTTCGTTTACAATTCTTGTTTTCCACCTGGGTCGAACTGGGAGGTCTAGCTATTACAAACAAACATAGATCTACATAATACACGCCCTCATGCTCCCTGACCCCCCCCCCCGTCGGAGCTCCTGGAACCCGAACCGCCGACCAACGGCGCCGACCAAGAGACGCCAGGTGAAGCGTCTCTTTGTGCGGCAAGCCTTCGAACTGAGCGCTTCTTGCAGCCAGCGTTTGGGACCTCGCCACTGGTCGGCGCCTGGCCGCAGATCTGCGGCGTGAATTCGGGCGCCGCGCAGTCGGGTGAGGCGGGTGAGGGTGGGAAGACGTTCAGCGACTCTGCAGGGTCGCATCGAATCTGCTGCAAGCGTCGAGCTATATGCACATCCCACATCAACGGTTTCTTCCCTCTGGGGCAGACCACCGAACCGTGGCGTTTTTGGATGTTCTTGACATTTTTTTTCATGCCATGCCATGCTGTAGGTTGGGGCACAAAGAGCACCGTTTTCAGCGAGAGTGATGCCGCAGCCCCGCACGACGTGTTTGGCCACGAATGTGTCGACGTCCGTGACGTGGGATGACGTGGGCTTGAGTTTCAGGCTCATGATGAATTTGTTGGTTGACTTTTATTTGGATTTTGTATTCACGTCCACCCTATTACATCTATTACATAGGTGAACATTCGAGTCGCTGGACTTTGCGACTCCTTCGCGCCGCCCTCCGCCTTCCTGGATGGGAAGTGTGCCGAACTCCTTCGGTGACCGCAGCACTCCATTGCCGCTGTTGCGATCGCATCGAAAACGGGTTCGCCCAGGTGCAATGGGCCCGTTTGTTCTTGGTGGATCTGGCCATCTCTCGGCTAAACTACGGCGTGGGCCGTTTTCCAGCCTTGGGGATACTGCTCCTGGACGCGCTCCAGGACACGCGCTCTTCGACGTGCAGATTTAAACATCCCCAAACATCCCCAAAACCCTGTGGTGGTCTTGACCAACCCCCAGTTTTCTATCGGCTGAGCTCCTGCATGGGTAGTTGATAAGCCAAACCTTTCTCCAATCCCCGGGGCATCCCATAGCCCATGGCATGGCCCACGGCCGGTGGGGCAAGGTAGGTGTCCATGGCATGATGCATCATGGCCCATGAAATTCGCAATCTTCCAGGCAATTCCACAGCTGGTTTGTAGGAAGGTTTTAAGAGCACCTCAAACATCTCAAACAATGATGGGCTCCTTCATTCAAAACCCATGCCGCCAGGAGCTGTGGAGCTGGTTGACCACATTAGATTCCTGGTTTTCAGGTGATTTTGTATCCCCGAAAACTAGGGGACGTTTTCTTGTGCCATTTCTTTCCATCATACTTTTTGGTTGCGTGGCTTTGCGTAGAATTGAACATGAAAACCTTTTTTTTGGTGTTTTGAGAGCAACTCCTAAGGACTTGTCCCATGACCCCAGCTGTTTCCTCTTGACCCGGACCTTAGAGGCACAACACCTGCTAGGCACGGACCGCGGACCGCGGACCGCGGACGGGACGAAACAATGCGTCGTGGTTTGGCCGAATCGGAGGTCATCGACCGGGTGGTTGAGTGGGAACGGACGCAGGGAAGCATGGTGGAGAAAGGGATATCACCGATTTTTGTTTGGAGTGTGGTATGTACAGTAAATAAATGAATATGGGTCAATATGGGTGTGTATGTACAAATAGGGAGACCTCCCAGTTTGACTCCCTGGAAGAAGGGAAATAGATCAAAGACCCTATTGGTTGTGGGTCTCCCCACTATAAAAAAAATATACGATATAACATTTCCCAGTGATGTTTTGTCACCCATGTTTTGTCAAGGTTGACCGTGGTGTGTTTTGTCACCCATGTTCGCTCTTGCGAGGCAATGACCCAGATCCTTTGGTCCAGCAGAAGCTCAGAACGTCCCTTGGTCCGTGTGGTGAAAGAGTTGAAGCAGTCTTGTTGCAAAACCAGCAGTCTCCAGCTTTTGGACGCCAGAGGTTTGCCCAACGACGCTTGGCATCGAAATATCATATGCAAAAGTCATTCGGAAGAGTTCGTAGTTGGTGGGTTGTGACTCATGTATAGGAAAATTGGTCTTCATGTCAAGACACTTACAGTAGTGTGAAGGACCCATATACTCATACATTCACAGGTATAAGGCTTGCTTAATTAATCTATTCTTCTGCATCTTCTCGCCTGCTGAAACAGGCCGCACCACGCAGCCATTTTCTCCAGAGCCTGAGAAAAGGGGAAAGCCATTGCGGCAACGACCTGTTGCTACTTGGCAGAAGAAATGTATTGACACCTTTTCCGGTTTGTATATATAAATATATAAGAATATAATATATATATAGTTGTCATAAGCAGAACACAAAGGTGTCAAGGATGTACTTTCCTTTTCAAAGGATTCTTCAGAAGGTACCTAATTAGACTCTACTAGACACAAGCGGACCGGCTGGACCGGGTGGAGCGGGTTGGGGTCTGAGACGGTCACGTCTACCCCAGCGGCCCTAGCGGCTCTAGGCCATCCTAGCCCTTATCGTCATCCATTGTTCGTGGGCAAAGTATGGCAAAGTTCAGGCCTCTATTTTAAAAATTATCTTTTAGTCATGAATCATGAACAAAACTGTACTTAGTGGCTGCCACTGCTGGTGTAGCCGCACATTTAGCCTCCTCCGTGTCAGACAACATTATTTTCCTCCTGACACGCGGATGTAGAACCACGACATATTGTTCCTTAGAGTAAACCCCCCATATACCATATGCCATATACCTTGGTATACCTTGGTCACCAACATAGTGGGGATTTACACAAAGAATATTGGAGTGTGCACCCCTAGAAGATCCTAGAAGCCAAGCGACCTGATTGCCATTTGTTGTCTCTTTAAAACCCAATGGATCATCAAAGCCCGATGATTTTCCTGGAGCCCTCAGAGTCTCAACGCCGCGACGAGCCAGGTTTTCCAATCACAGCTGGCACGGACCATGCGCCCCCCAAGCTGCAATGAGAACACCGATCACTTCGCTTCATCCACGGTGGAAACGGTCCGGTCCGCGGAAACGGGTCCGGACTGCATGGGGTGGGTCGAAAGGATGAGGTGTGGGGAGAATGCCTGGTGAGAATGGATGAGGTTCGACGCGATGTTCCATGATTTCTTTTGCAGAAGAAACACATCGAAAAACCGTAGGAAAACGCAGCCTTTTGCCCGAATCATGGGACCTTCAGGGACAATGACATGGCGAGTTTCCGATGACCATTGTTATCTAGAAACAGCTGGTGAACTCCACTTCCATCTGAAAATGACTCGAAGAGTATCTGTTAAACAGCTGGTGAACTCCATATCCATTGATTTTCTTCCATCTTCTGTTATTCTGCTCTGCCTAAGAACTGTCGGGTCAATGGCCTGAGCGGGGTCGGGAAATCACAACGTCGACGCCTGGCGGAGTTGGGAAAATCTGAAGTGGTGGCCTCCCAAACCTTCCTGTAGCCATCTGTAGCCTATATGCCTTAAAATAGGCCACCCAAACCCGAAGTTACTTGCAAGGACACTGACCAAGTGCAAGTCGCTTGGTCACTGTGGCACCACTGGTCCGCCATTGATGAATCACCAGATGAGAAGGAGTGACCCAACGGCTTCCGCTCTGTCAATGGAAGGAGTAGTTCTGAGTGAATTTTTCTATACGACGTTTTCGGACATCAAGTCGATAGCATATGCAGCATACATGGTACCATGGTGGTTCAAGCTCGCTTCGGGGGATCTAGGAAAACGTGTCAGAGACATTTCATCACTTGGAAAACGTGTCCCCTATCTATGAACCTGTGCATTGCTACTAGGAACAATACATAAAAACAATACGTAAAAATAAGCCAATTTTTCTTCATGGCCGGTCTGCATGGTCTGCAGGTTTCTTGTTGAGCTCCGTGTTGGGCACCTTTGGCCTGGTGGCTGGCATTCGCAAAGAACTGCTTGGTGTGGAGGAACAGAAGGCCTAGCAGTTCGGGCTGGGGGTAAGATGGGGTGAGGTTTGTGATTTACTCTCAACGTCAAGACGGGCAAAGTAAGTTGACAAACATGGCAAACAAGTATGCTCCTGTAGCCTATGTACCAGAGGCACTCTAAGACTCTAAGATCTGGGTGTGGCACCGTTTTTAAGATCTAGGCCTTCACATTGAAATCGCGCAGGCTTGCCAGATTTGTGTCGCTTTGGAATTGGTAGAGTGTCCACAGCCAGCACCTTTCTACATGTGAACTCGGACGACAGTTGAGCCCGGCTTCCCGTTCACATGTATATATATATATATATGTAAGTTATGTATATAAGGATGTACACCTTTTGAGATTCAGAAAGATCTATATACACACCCTAGCCTGCCTTCCACAGAGCATGGTGAGAAGTCTGTCTTGCTTGGACACCTTTCTTTTCATGTGCAAGGAAAAACAATTAAAACATTATATGTTTTTCTTTTTGTGTTTTGAAACTTGTTTTGATCCTTTCTTTATTGTCTCTCCACCTGTCTCAGGCGGTCGAGGGCGGCCTCTTCAGCACCTGCTGCGTGATGGACGGATACAACCACCCGATGTGGGAGGTGACTTGACGATGATCTCCTGGGCCAAGCACTTTTCGTTGGCCCAACATGGATTTAATTGAACAATATATAAGATATAATATATACACATATATAATATAACATATGAAATATATATATTATCTAATATTATATACAATATATAATATACATATATATATATATAAGACTATATATTATATATAACTTTTACGTCACTGTGGTAGTCATGATTCACCCCTTCTAAGTAGGTGAAATGATGTTAGATGAATCCTTTTGGACTTCCGGGGTATTGAGGGATTGACGTCGATGGCCCACTTTTTGCCGAACCCGAACTCGCACCGAGTTGAACGATTTCAAGCCTTCCCTATGGGATCATGCTGTTTGTGTTGAGAAAGAGATGGGCTACGCAGCAAGCAAGGAGATTGGCAAGCTTATCCCCCTACTCGGGGCCCAGTCCAAAAACCATGGTGGCATATCCTTTGGTTGGGGCCCTAAACCTTATATTCACGATCCTTGAAATCCGCCGTTTCGTAGAGGTGTTTTCTCCGCCTTTCGTCTTCTCAGCCTTTCTCCGCCAGGATGAAGCCTTGATGAAGGAGGCGAGCAACGTGATGCTCACCTTGATCGACACGGGTGCGTACTTCTTTGAGCCATGGCAGATCCATGCAATCGGGATCCTGTGAGGATGCTCGAGAGAAACCAGGAACGAAGTCGGGATCCTCTTCAACTCGGGGATGATTCGGGGATGATCAGCTTTGGTTTTTGGAACACGGGGATCCGCTTCAGAATCTGCGCATCGGCACGAAACAGGTCCAGTCTGGGTGCAATCTGGGTCCTGATGTTCGGCCAACATCCCTGGATGTTTTGTCAATTGACGGAAGAGGTGAGATGCCTGGCCTGACCAGGATGGGTTTCTCAACTTGTTCATTGGGTCGGACCGGCTGCAAAAGGGCGACCTGGGTGTGTATTTTAATAGGGTGACACCTAGCCAATAGGTTTTTGGCCGACATGCAGTTTCATGCAGGAAGTAAGACATGCAGTGATCACCCCCAGCATAGCGTGAGGTGAGCAACATGTATCATGTAGGGCTATGAAAGCCCAATCGTTTCCAACTTCCACGATGACACGAAATGGAATCGAATTTGAGGATCGATCCCGACCACTTCATAGAACTGCAGAAAAATCCTGAGCCGAGAGCTCAAATCTGCTTGAACAAGGTCAGCACGAATCGATTCGTCACTCATGACATAAGCTGCACGTCGATTCCTGGTGTTCTTTTTCAAGGTCCTGTCGTATACTGGAGTCCACTACAAAAAGCATCAAAAAGTAAAGGATATATGATATTTACACCTCCAACAAACTTGTCTCACCCTCACATTGCAACCAAGGAATATCCCGGAACCACCCCAGAATGATCCGTGAAAATCTCTCACCAAAAAGAAAGTCAGTGACCACGTTCAAGGTCGCATGTGTCAGCGGTAGATACCCATCACCCACACGCTGTGTGTGCCGCAACCTTGGAGACACGTAAGGCATTGGGAGGCCTTTGCAAAACGTGACACCATATGGGATTCCACAAGTCCCAGTGCAGGGTTCAAAGCCCTGTGCAAGATGCCGTGCCATGAGCATGGATTCGAGAATTGAAACCACAGCAGCACAATCCAAGTGCAAATGAGCAGACCAAACCTTCTGCAAAGCAAGGAATAAGGCATAAACGTCGCCTCTGTAGGAACTGTGATCAGCCCCTGGAACCAGCTGTGAGTCCAGTGCAATGCCTTCCTCACCAGAGATCTGTAAGGCTTCACTTGCAGAGATTGTGAACTCAGCCACATCTTGCAAAACGGCACTCCCGTCAGTAAACACATCAGCCATGACACTTGGCACAGGTAAATGAAACGGCAGCCATTCCTTCCGTAGGGAAGACTTGATGTTTCACCCCTGCCACTGGGCCTCGACCAAGGCGAAATTACGAAGAGCCAAAGAAATATCCTTAAGAGGAATTGGAACAACGAATCGGATTTATATACTGTAAGCCTTATACAGAGGGTTCAGAGTAGATTGCACAAACCCGAAGATGTCTTTTATGTGGGGGTCCTTACAAACCACCTTTTGCCACTTGTGCCATCTACTCTGAAGTCACTGTATAGATCCTGCAAATTCGGACACTGGAAGATCCGATGTTCCTTAAAGCCTTAGTGTCAACTTGTCCACACAGGGGGCATGCATCACTATCAAAGGTCCTGCAATACTTGGGAGCTGATCTAAATCCCCGTGTAAAGAGTTTTACTGTATTTAAAACACAGCCTTTCAGATGTTGTTAAAACCATCCGCGAAAGATTCGTGATGAGGTTCGCGACAGTATATGTTTTTTCCGCGAAAGATTTATCGAAGGTCATCGCTTTCATATGTTTTCCTTTCTACCGACCGACAAAGAATAGAAATACACGGCAATCCTGCGGAAGAGCCGGTGGGCGGAAGTGTCCCCGCATGTCCCCATTGTCACAGACTAACGAACTGAAACCTCACATTTCCGATTCCTGTCCCCACTGTCACAGACTAGCAACCTGAGTGGGCACAGCCCCGACAGTGAGGCAACGACCTGCAGCTGCTCTGACGGGCTGTGCAGATGGTTGCAAATGTTACGCCTGCCCGGGGAAGTCGCCAGTGAAAGATCCGCGAAAGTTTCGCGAATGTGCAGCAAAAGTCCCACTTCCCAGCTTGAGTCCCCCCAGGCATTCCACAAGCTGCATCACCCTGTGATGGTAGCTGGCACGAGGATTGGGCTGAGTTGTGCCGTGTTCCATTTGGCATGCTGCAAGATGTCTGTCCCTATTTTGTGATACTATGAATGAATAGTTCCGGCTCATGTTAGCTGGACGTGGTTGTAGGACCATGCTTCGCGATGAGGCCGCGAAAGATCCGCGAAAGATACTGTTTTTTTCCACGAAGAATGGCCAATCCAGGATGAAAGGATATTGATCAACCACCACTTGCTCGGGGCACTTCTAGTGACATTTTCCCGCAAGCTAAAGCAATTACTGTCCCTTGAGCCCTGGCATTCAAGTTCTTGATGCAGTTCTGAACAACACCCACATCAAAAGCTTTAACTCACGCCCTTTACGATGCGAAATCCTCTCAGAAACTTCACAAGACCATGCTGCATGCAGCAACATTCTGATGTGCTTGACCGAGTCCCGCAGCCAATTGAAAATCAGTCCTCTATTGTGTACAACATTGCCATTCTCGCCCCATGCTCATCCCACTTCTGCGAAAGCACATTTGAAAATGGCAGCAGGTCCAACTTTTCTGGTATGTGTGTGACATGCAATTTACGGCAACAGGCCGCAACATCATATGGGTGATGCCTGAAATATGTTCTCCAGAACTTGACTTTGCACATGGGGTCGCTAAGCTGAGGATCAGTGACCTTGCCACATATACAAGCAGCAAACCATGGACTCGATCCCGATCTGGCACGACCAAGGCACTGAATCATCGAGCTCGACTTCCACTCAGCATCAGTGCGGTCAACTAAGGCAGAACCATAAGCAACAATTCCATGCCCCAACGATTTGGTCATTGATTTGAAGGCCTTGGGAATGGTGTTTTTGTTACGGTTCAAAACCCTCAAGGCCTTTCTCAACCGAACTTTGCTCTTGGTTTTGACCTTCGCGCACCCACAGGAAACATCACAACCCATGTCAGTGACCCGGTGATTCACCTGCAACACCTGACCACGAATCTTGACCGCTCGAATCGATTTTCGACCATGGTATGTGTTAGCCCAAACCCAACTCTTTCCGCTGATTTCCATGGACAAAAAAATCGTAAAGAACTCCAATCGTCGCGTTGCAGCAGTTAAAACTTGTTCCGTGTCACAAACAAAACCTCAATTGTCGGCAAATAAATTTGGTTCCACGGTAGGGTGATGAAAGCTCAAGTACTGTAACTCGAGGCCCAAATGCTGAGCATCAACATGGCAGCAACACTGAAGGCACATCCTTCCGGGAAACCACAAGTGGAGGGAATGGTTCCTCCCATCTGATGTGCAATCTCAATCTCGGTAAAACGCTGCAAGGAGTCCAGCATCTCCTCCAAAGCTCTCAAGCACTGAACAGGAACACCCATCCAAAGAAAGGCAGTCAAAAGAGGAATACGTGAAATCCTGTTGAAGCACTTGACCAGATCAACAACCAATCCAAATATTTCCCGAGTTTCCAGCGGAGCATCTTCAACCATGCACCAAGTCCTGGCGATGACCATGTCATCACTGAGACCAGCCGATGCTCCAGCAGTTCCAACATCCAAGACACAGCAACGAAATGTTATACCACCTCGGCTGAACGAATCTTGGCCCAACATCTGTACAGCCTGTTTAACTTGTCATTAGGCCGGCAATCCATAGGTGAAGTCGACGGTTTGTTCACCCTTAGACAGCATGACTGCTCGAAAAGTTGTGTGAAACAATTGAAAGAGCCACTGCTTCAGGGAAGGCGGCAACATCTTTAACTCATACGGAGGAAAGGAGTCCGCCCCTCGAGCACTCTTCTTGGGAATTTGCTTCAACATGGTGTCCCACCTTTCGATCGTGAACAACGTAGCAGGGAAAGCGTCCAAAGCTGGGAGAGTCTCCAAAGAATGCATGGCACTAGGCCAATGATGGACGAGTATCATCAGGTACCAGCACCAAAGGTTGTGCAGCCTTACGCACAACTGGAGAAGTGAGTTCCGACACATTGCCAGTCACAGGAGTCACGGAAACCTGTTGCTCATGAAACAAAGCAGGAAGATTAATGTTCTTTTATGTTCTTTTGGGAAACATCATCGCTACACACACAAGCCCAGTGACACCTCCTTCTTCCAGCGTTGGCGAGGAATGGGCACAGATTGTTGAGTAGCAATGAATTCCGCAGGAGTAACAGATAAATCTTTTAACCGTATTGAAAGCTTAACTACCACCTGCCAAAATTCCAGCAAGCATCTTAGCTTTCCGGCTCTGATACTGGGCCGCATGAAACTCCTTTAAAGGTGTTTTGAGAGCTTCCTGCAAAGCAAGCTTCAACTCATTAGCACAAGAAACATTCGGCAAGATAATGGGAACGATTATGTGCAAATGGTCAAAAGCCCACCACTGAAAACCACCAGGAAAACCCTTCGCATTGCAAATGCCCTCTACAGGTCCTCCAAAACCAACTGATTCCTTGCGAACTCATTCCGCAACTTAGCTGTATATTGTGGTTGAAAAGCCTCATTCCGCCTTCGAATCTGTTTGACCCAACGTCGGATTTGCTTGCGTTGTGAGACGCCTGGATCGAACATGAACCCTGAAGACGGCAACATGAACCCTGGGAGGAGACGCTCTTTTTGGTAACCGGGCGATCTGCATGGAAATGAAGGCGGCAGGGCTGGGCTGGGCATTTCGCCGACCCCCCGAGGCCGGAGCACTCTTGGAAAAGGTTTTACCTGATACCGCCGTAGACTTGCCGTCACAGCATCTTCAAAAGTATGTCCGAATCTCAGAAGATATTGATCAGCAGCCTTCTCCAACAAAGCAGGATCAAACGACATATATAATATGGGAGTTATCCAAAAGGTCCTTGTAAGGTCCTTCCAAAAGGTCTTTGTAGGTACATATCATATTGGACAA